AGTGTGTGGTGAGTGTGAGGTGAGTGTGTGGTCAGTGTGTGGTGAGTGTGTAGTGAGTGTGTGTGTGGTGAGTGTGTGAGGTGAGTGTGGTGAGTATGTGTGTGGTGAGTGTAAGGTGAGTGAGAGTGTGGTGAGTGTTTAGGTGAGTGTGTGTAGTGAGTGTGTGTGGCGAGCATGAGGTCAGTGTGTGTGTGATGAGGAGGAGGATGTGATCAAGAGCTTCACAGCTCATCGGATTTCTCCTCTAGTCGAAAGAATCCGATTCTGCATCACCACTACCGCAGCTCGCTCGCATTGTCGGTCACATTTTCTCGCAACCCTTCTGCGCGTTGGTGGGCGAGACTCACAAACGGCACGGTGGCAACTCAAAGCAGTTCTCTGGAGCTGGTGGCCTGGGCAAGGCTGGCAGCCTGTGCGCGTGCACCGGCGCGCGTCCGCGCGGTGTTTAACTCTCCAGCCGTTTTCGCGAGCTGAAAACTCAAGGTGGCTTTTAAAAAAAAAAATCTGTTTCGATGATTTGTCGTCGGCTACAGATGGTTGATGATGGTGACAATGATGGTGGTGGCGGTGGTGATAATGATGATGGTGATGATGATGATGGTGGTGGTCATAATGATGATGGTGATAATGATGATGATGGTGGTGATAATGATGATGGCGATGATGTTGGTGGTGATAATGATGATGGTGATGATAATGATGATGGCGATGATGATGATGGCGGCGATGATGATGATTATGATGATGGTGCTGATGATGATGGTCGTGATCATGGCGATGATGATTCACCATCGTGATGACGTTAGTAATAATGAAGAGTTTAATGATTAATTTACGACCACAGGATACGATCTCCTCACCCCATCTCATCGCCCAGCCTCGTTGGGGGTGGGGGAGAGAGAGGGTGAGTGGCTGAGTGGGGGCGAGGTGGGGGGCGCTGTATAGTTTACGAGTATAATATTTTACGAGCCACTTACAAAACAGAGTAACGTCTCCCATGTATGCTTTTGTTGTTTCTGTCTTCCAACAACTTTTGATCGATCCGGGTCGACAGAAGCCGGAAGAGGGGGAAAACCATTCTAAAAAATAAAATCCGACCGTCCGCTCGGATGTACGCCCGGCGCTGTCTGTTGAACTTCTTTCGCACCGTGCGTAGCCAACCCGTGATAATTAGAGGGTGCGGGGATGCATGGCTCGGCTGGCGATCTTCGCTCGCCGGGAGCCGAGTTTGCTCTCGCTTCCATCTCCCTCCTCGGTTGCACAGACAGCGTTCCGTTCGTTCCCTCCGTCTGCCGCCCCGTTGTTGTTGTTGTTGTTTACGAATTTCAAATTTCAAAAAAAAAACACGTGCATTTAGTTTATTTTGTTGCTATAAATGTCCACCGTGATGAGCCACTTTGTTGAGTCGTCGCAATGGGTCGGAAACCAACATCAGAAGAAGAAGAAGAATACGAACCAAAAATGTCGAATTCGGTATTTTTTTTTTAAAAAAAACGTCAATATTTCTCGAGAGCCGCAATGCGACGTGGGGGAAGAAGGCGACGAAGCAGTCCTCAAGGAGCCGCATGCCGTTCCGTCTGTTGCGGGGCAGGTCGCGTCTGATAAACCAGTTAAGAGGTCGGTGGGCTTTAGCTGGAAAAATAAATCATAGTTCGGTTTTATTTGAATAGATATATTTTTTTTTAAAGTGATTTATTTGCCGATCCTATACTTTGCCCTCCAATCGTGTGTTCAGTATTGTTTGTTTTTGTAATGTTCTGACCCCGTGCGCCTACTGGACATCTGTGTTAAAAAAAAGCTTCATAGCTCATCGGATTCCTCCGGTATAAATACATATTCTGATTATTATCCTTGATCGATCGATCGACCTTCATCATCCAACCTTCCTTGAGCCACGTGACGGCGCCCTGCCCACTCCTCGCCGAGTCTCCTCCTGCTGGCATCGCAGCCTTCTGAGGCTATGGAACATCGAGGCGACCGCCCTGGGCCCCGCGATTTCGGGGGGGGGGCGGGGGAAGATGTTCTTCGACGTCACGGTGTCCGATGTAATACTTCCGCGCTAGTCTGAAGGCGTCGGGGGGGTTCACGCGGTGTGGGGTTTGCTCCGGGCCCCGCAGACCCCCCCCCCCCCCCCCCCGGCCCTGTCAGTAGCGATGTGGTGCAGAAACGAAATGCCACAAATGTTGAGGTCTGCTGCTGCTACTCGTGACGACGAGAGGGCTTCAGCAGAGAGAGCTCGTGTCTTCTTGCTGTTCCCTCCTCCTCAGTTGAATGAGCGCGGACAAACAGTGGTTTTACTCCACGGTCTCTATGAAGCTGTATCTCTGAGTCTCCTCTATGAGTCTCTGTATATCTCTATGAGTCTCTGTGTATCTATGAGTTCACTGCAGGGTCCATAGTGGGGGTTACGTGGCCACAATCGCACCACTGTGGCCGTGCCTTTGATGTCTCATTCATGAAGGGGACGTGCTGCAGCAACGGCCTGAGGTCCGTGGTTCAACCAGCGGTGAGCGAGTGGGCGGGTGGGTGAGTTGGTGAGTTGGTGATGGTTCAACCAGCGGTGAGCGAGTGGGTGAGTTGGTGATGGTTCAACCAGCGGTGAGCGAGTGGGTGAGTGGGTGAGTTGGTGATGGTTCAACCAGCGGTGAGCGAGTGGGTGAGTGGGTGATGGTTCAACCAGCGGTGAGCGAGTGGGTGAGTGGGTGATGGTTCAACCAGCGGTGAGCGAGTGGGTGAGTGGGTGAGTTGGTGATGGTTCGACCAGCGGTGAGCGAGTGGGTGAGTTGGTGAGTTGGTGATGGTTCAACCAGCGGTGAGCGAGTGGGTGAGTTGGTGATGGTTCAACCAGCGGTGAGCGAGTGGGTGAGTGGGTGATGGTTCAACCAGCGGTGAGCGAGTGGGCGGGTGAGTGAGTTGGTGATGGTTCAACCAGCGGTGAGCGAGTGGGTGAGTTGGTGAGTTGGTGATGGTTCAACCAGCGGTGAGCGAGTGGGTGAGTTGGTGATGGTTCAACCAGCGGTGAGCGAGTGGGTGAGTTGGTGATGGTTCAACCAGCGGTGAGCGAGTGGGTGAGTTGGTGATGGTTCAACCAGCGGTGAGCGAGTGGGTGAGTGGGGGAGTTGGTGATGGTTCAACCAGCGGTGAGCGAGTGGGTGAGTTGGTGATGGTTCAACCAGCGGTGAGCGAGTGGGTGAGTTGGTGATGGTTCTACCAGCGGTGAGCGAGTGGGTGAGTGGGGGAGTTGGTGATGGTTCAACCAGCGGTGAGCGAGTGGGTGAGTTGGTGAGTTGGTGATGGTTCAACCAGCGGTGAACGAGTGGGTGAGTTGGTGATGGTTCAACCAGCGGTGAGCGAGTGAGCGAGTGGGTGAGTTGGTGATGGTTCAACCAGCGGTGAGCGAGTGGGTGAGTGGGGGAGTTGGTGATGGTTCAACCAGCGGTGAGCGAGTGGGTGAGTTGGTGAGTTGGTGATGGTTCAACCAGCGGTGAACGAGTGGGTGAGTTGGTGATGGTTCAACCAGCGGTGAGCGAGTGGGTGAGTGGGTGAGTTGGTGATGGTTCAACCAGCGGTGAGCGAGTGGGTGAGTTGGTGAGTTGGTGATGGTTCAACCAGCGGTGAGCGAGTGGGTGAGTGGGTGAGTTGGTGATGGTTCAACCAGCGGTGAGCGAGTGGGTGAGTTGGTGATGGTTCAACCAGCGGTGAACGAGTGGGTGAGTTGGTGAGTTGGTGATGGTTCAACCAGCGGTGAGCGAGTGGGTGAGTGGGTGATGGTTCAACCAGCGGTGAGCGAGTGGGCGGGTGAGTGAGTTGGTGATGGTTCAACCAGCGGTGAGCGAGTGGGTGAGTTGGTGATGGTTCAACCAGCGGTGAGCGAGTGGGTGAGTGGGGGAGTTGGTGATGGTTCAACCAGCGGTGAGCGAGTGGGTGAGTGGGGGAGTTGGTGATGGTTCAACCAGCGGTGAGCGAGTGGGTGAGTGGGTGAGTGGGTGAGTTGGTGATGGTTCAACCAGCGGTGAGCGAGTGGGTGAGTTGGTGATGGTTCGACCAGCGGTGAGCGAGTGGGTGAGTGGGGGAGTTGGTGATGGTTCAACCAGCGGTGAGCGAGTGGGTGAGTTGGTGATGGTTCAACCAGCGGTGAGCGAGTGGGTGAGTTGGTGATGGTTCAACCAGCGGTGAGCGAGTGGGTGAGTTGGTGATGGTTCGACCAGCGGTGAGCGAGTGGGTGAGTTGGTGATGGTTCAACCAGCGGTGAGCGAGTGGGTGAGTGGGGGAGTTGGTGATGGTTCAACCAGCGGTGAGCGAGTGGGGGAGTTGGTGATGGTTCAACCAGCGGTGAGCGAGTGGGTGAGTGGGGGAGTTGGTGATGGTTCAACCAGCGGTGAGCGAGTGGGTGAGTTGGTGATGGTTCGACCAGCGGTGAGCGAGTGGGTGAGTTGGTGATGGTTCAACCAGCGGTGAGCGAGTGGGTGAGTTGGTGATGGTTCGACCAGCGGTGAGCGAGTGGGTGAGTGGGTGAGTTGGTGATGGTTCAACCAGCGGTGAGCGAGTGGGTGAGTTGGTGATGGTTCAACCAGCGGTGAGCGAGTGGGTGAGTTGGTGATGGTTCAACCAGCGGTGAGCGAGTGGGTGAGTTGGTGATGGTTACGTCAGTGGTGAGCGAGTGGGTGGGTGAGTTGATGATGATGATTCTACCAGCGGTGAGCTAGTGGGTGAGTTGATGATTCTACCAGTGGTGAGCGAGTAGGTGGGTGAGTTGATGATGATGATTCGACCAGCGGTGAGCGAGTGGCTGAGTGGTTGAGTGGTTCCGCCAGCGTCTTCGAGGAGAAATGTCAAAGCCAGGAGGAGGTGCAGTGTTCGGGTTACGGCTGCGGTGTTTATTCCGGACGTCCGCATTGTTATTATTATTTTTTACGCGTGCCGAAGTACCCTCCCCTCCCTCCCTTCCCTCCTCTCCCTCCCATCCCCTCACCCCCTCCCCCATCTACTCCCCCCCCCCCCCCAATTTCCTCTTCCTCCTCACGGCTGAATCCCACATCGACGCACGACGCCGTTTCCCATGATACCGCGCCGTGGAACTCGCGAGCGGAGTTCGCTCGGGAAATAAATTTAAAACAATTCTTCCGATGGGGCCCTCCACCTCGTGCGTGTGGCCTGGGAGTGGCAGCAGCTGGAGGGGGGAAGGAGGAGGCGGGGGGGGGGGGGATTGGGGGAGGGGAGCGGGGGGGGCGTGTCAGAAATGTGTTTTCAGGACACCTGTGAATGAACGCAACGTGATATTGGAAGATATATAATATACATTATTGCAGCGTCTCCGTAGAGCTTTTAAGATTTGTTGAATCGTTTGGATGAGGACGCAGACCGTCGTTCGGCTAAGACCGAGGAGGCGCTCGACACGAGCGGAGGAAGCGAGGGAGTGAAGTTCACGCGAAGGGCAGTAGCGATGGAAGAGTGATCAGCAGGCGACTGACCAGCAGTGATTCGAGGAGTAGCCGGAGAGAATCGGGGGGAGTGTGAACAAGAGGGCGAGCGAGAGCGGGAGAGAGCGGGGAGTGAGAGATTATAGAGGAGAGAGAGAGGGGGGGGTGGGAGTGCGTGTTCGTGTGTGTCATCTTTGAGTCGTGATTGACCGTGTGTGCCGCGTGTGATTATCGATCACGGAGTCACTTCACTGACCTCTTGGGCCATCACAGCCTGGGTCTGGGTGGGGGGGGGAGGCAGGGGGGGTTAATGAGCTGTGTCCTCTGGCCCCACACGCCGCGCTCTTACACGTGGCAGCTGCTGCTGCTGTGTGAGTGCAGGGCGCCGGTGAGCGGATGGTGAGGGCTCGGGTGATGTCGGTGGATAGCGGTGGTCACCCGCTCGCTCCTGGTGTGGGAAAATGGTGAGCGCAGGAAGAAGGCGTTAGACGCGGAGCCGACCCATCAGCTCACCCACCAACTCACCCACCAACTCACCCACAAACTCACCCACAAACTCACCCACAAACTCACCCACCCCTTTCTTTCCGAATCATCCGCTCGCCTACTCACCCACCCATTCACCCATTCCACTCACCAAACCCACCCATTCCACTCACCCACTCATGCATCCGCTCACCCACCCACTCGCCTTCCAACTCACCCACCAGCTCGCCCACCCCTCACTCACCCACCCACTCACCCGCCCACACTCATGGCGACCACCCACCCACCCACTCGCTCTCAAGGGGCACACTCCCACAAAACAAGAACCGACGATTTTGACCCAACAACATTCACCGCCTGTTGCTAGCAACTGTCCCCTTTTTACCATGCAACTCTTGGTGACAGATGCGAGTGTGTGTACGTGAGTGTGTGTGTACGTGTGTGTGTGTACGTGTGTGTGTACGTGTGTGCATGTGCACGTGTGTGGCTGTGAGGCGGGGGGTGTGGTGAGGTGGGGGGGGGGTGTGAGGTGGGGGGGTGGTGAAGTGGGGGGTAAGTGTGAGGTGGGGGGGGGTGAGGCGGGGGGGGGGGGTGGTGAGGTGGAGGGGGCGGTGAGGTGGAGGGGGCGGTGAGGTGGGGGCGGGGGCACGACAACCCCCGCGTTGCACGAAGGCAGATGGTTGCGAAACGTTGGCACTGGCTCGAGGCACCAGCCCGACTGCTACTCTCCCGAGAGAGAGAGAGAGCGAGCGGGACATTCCTCCTCCATTGCACCACACAACCATCATCTCACTCTGTTACCGCGCTTTATCTGCCCTGAGCGCAACACGGACATGGCCTCGCCGTGTTGTTTTTGTTTCTTCGTTCCCTTCCCCGTGATCTTTGTGAGCAACAACAACAACAACAAACACAAACAACAAACACAAACAACAACAAACACAAACAACAACAAACACAAACAACAACAAACAACAACAAACAACAACAGCAGCAGCAGCAGCTGACACCCGCGCGATGAGATGGATCGCCAGCCTGTGGTTTCCTCAAACCGGGTTCGTCGTAGGATGATGATGATTGTAGTGATGATGGTGGTGATGGTGACGGTGATGATGACGGTGATGATGATGACGGTGACGATGGTGACGGTGATGACGATGACGGTGATGACGGTGACGATGATGACGATGACGGTGATGATGATGACGGTGACGATGATGACGGTGACGATGATGACGGTGACGATGGTGACGGTGACGATGATGACGGTGATGATGATAGTGACGGTGATGATGGTGACGGTGATGATGATGACGGTGATGATGATGATGATGACGGTGATAATGGTGACGGTGATGATGATGACGGTGATGATGGTGACGGTGATGATGGTGACGGTGATGTTGGTGATAATCGTGACAGTGATGATGATTGTGATTGATGGTGGTGATGGCGGTGACGGTGATCATGATGGTAACGGTGATCATGATGGTGACGGTGATGATGACGGTGATGATGATGATGATGGTGACGGTGATGATGATGACGGTGATGACGGTGATGACGGTGACGACGGTGACGATGATGACGGTGATGATGATGCCGGTGATGTTGGTGATAATCGTGACAGTGATGATGGTTGTGATTGATGGTGATGATGGCGGTGACGGTGATCATGATGGTGACGGTGATGATGGTGGTGGCGATGATGATGGTGGTGATGATGGTGACGATGGGGGGGGATGGTTCCGCTTCTATGGGAACATCTGGAGCCATCGGAGCTCTCCCCCGTCTCATATTCCACTTGTATCTAACAATAACAACAATAGTAATAACATATTCTTTGGTCCGTTCGGTAAAGTCACTTAGATAGAAAAAAATGTTAATAAAAATAATGAAAATAAAATGAAAAAAAAAACACGAATGTAGACTGTAGCCTGGTTCTAAATCGGAGTGAGTGTACTGGCAGTATATAATATAGACTAGCCTGGTCTAGTGAGTGTACTGAATAGTAACAACAACGTGACGTTTAAAATCGTTACTTCATTTATGATGATTCAGGTTGTGTATATATGTACGTTGAACGTCTCTCTCGCAGTACCTAGCCAAGCGCACTAATCGCATTTGCGCGGGCAGGACAACGAACCAACCAGAAACAGGTCGTGGTGATGATGCAGCTGCTGCTGATGATGATGCGCCTGGAGCTCCCGTCACTTATGCAGCTGCTGGTGCAGCTGATGTTGCAGTTGCTGATGAAATCAATGTAGTGGGCCCATTTAGACTACGGTCGACGTTACGGGTGCCAGAGTGAGCGGCAGACGGGATCTCAATTACACGCTCCCTCCCCTCTCTCTTCCTCCCTCCGCCATCTATCTCCTCTGCCTCTCCCTCCCTCCCTCCCGCCCCCCCTATCCCTCCCTCCCGCCCAACAAACGAATCGCTCCCCTGACAACTTAAATTTAATTACACGTGGCTCCTAGTGGCAGCACACGTCACGTGACCTCGTTAAATCATCAAGCCGCGTGGGGCTGGGATGGAATGAGGGTGAGGTTTTTGGGTTGGGATTGAGGGTGGGCGTGAGTGTTGGGAGGATGCATTCGGCCCGGATCTGGTCCAGATTTGGTCCGGATCTGGTCCAGATTTGGTCCGAATCTGGTTCAAATTTGGTCCGGATCTGGTCCAGATTTGGTCCGGATCTGGTCCAAATTTGGTCCGAATCTGGTTCAAATTTGGTCCGGATCTGGTCCAGATTTGGTCCGGCATGACATCACTGGCACTGCGAACACCACACGGGGAATAGGCGAGACCATGCCTTCTTCACATATCTTTAACTCCACATAAAACACACACACACAGTGCAGTACAATGTTTACACAATCCCGTCAGCCACACGCCCTTCTCTGAGCGTGTGCTACTCTGCTGCTATGTGGAGGAACAGATGCATGAAGGGTACGGAGCGAAAGAAGTTCAACGTGCATGCATGCTCATTTGGTCATTATATTCTCCACAACAACGCGAGTGATTATTTTGAGTAATAATTAAGATTATTAAGATTTATGTCGAACTTCGAACCCATATCTAACACACACACACACGCACGCGCGCGCGCAGAGACGGGGTTATATGTCTTTCTGTCGTATAAACGTTTGGCAGTTCACCATCATTGATTCGAGCGAACCTGACTCTGCTGACGAGATACTGAAAGTCGAAACCGCTCCTGAGTTTCGCTCAGGTTGAACCATTCGCTGCTGAAATTGTTGCACTTCCAGAAGGTAGGCTGCGTGTGGCTGACGGGATGTGTTATGTGTTTATGCGTGTGTATGTATGTATGTGTGTTGGTATGTGTGTGTTGGTATGTGTGTGTATGTGTGAAGGTGTGTGTGTGTGGGGAACGGTGGCGCAGTGGTTAGCGCACTGCGCTACGAACCCGGCGGCCCGAGTTCGATTCACGCTCACGACCAACACTAAGAGTGACGGCGAATATTTGAACCGCTCCTTGGCCTCCCCTCGATCTATTCAGCCTCCACTCAGCCGGGCGTGGTGGTGGTGAGTGCTGAGACACTGGTAGTGAGGCACTGGTAGTGAGACACTGGGTAGTGAGACACTGGTAGTGAGACACTGGTAGTGAGACACTGGTAGTGAGGCACTGGGTAGTGAGACACTGGGTAGTGAGGCACTTGTAGTGAGGCACTGGGTAGTGAGACACTGGTAGTGAGACACTGGGTAGTGAGACACTGGTAGTGAGGCACTTGTAGTGAGACACTGGTAGTGAGACACTGGGTAGTGAGACACTGGGTAGTGAGACACTGGTAGTGAGGCACTTGTAGTGAGACACTGGTATGCCTCACTACCAGTGTCTCAGTAGTGAGACACTGGTAGTGAGACACTGGGTAGTGAGGCACTAGTACAGAGACACTGGTAGTGAGGCACTGGTAGTGAGACACTGGGTAGTGAGGCACTAGTACAGAGACACTGGTAGTGAGACACTAGGTAGTGAGACACTGGGTAGTGAGACACTGGGTAGTGAGGCACTGCTAGTGAGACACTGGGTAGTGAGACACTGGTAGTGAGACACTGGGTAGTGAGACACTGGGTAGTGAGACACTGGGTAGTGAGGCACTGGTAGTGAGACACTGGTAGTGAGGCCCTAAAGAAGGCTGTCTCTGGTGTAGACCAATCCGTTTCAAAGACAATGCCATTTATTATCAGAGTGTTTGTTTTGTTTGAATGTTCACCACAAGTATCGCGTGCGGTTAATGCGAACTTGAATCCTTGAAAAAAAATCGATTTGGTGTTTGAACATCTTAACACCTCCTGTTGCATTGCCTATTCTTATTTTTTCATACTTTGATACTGGCAAAAAACGGTCCCATTTTGGGGGGGGTGAATCTTTGTTGCTATATCCTCAGGAGCACGTGCATAAAAACAACCTACCGTGGTCTACGCCAGATCTGCCCGTGTGCATGTAGAATGCGTGTGAGACTCTAACAATGCCGTGTTGACCTTCCTCCCACACTGTGCCTGCTGCTGCTGCTGTTGGTGGTAGTGCTGGTGGGTGGTCGCGTGCCAGTGGTGGTTGTGTGCGTGTGTGTGGCGGTCGTGGTGGCGATGGTGGATTGTGCTGCTGCTGCTGTTCCACGTGCTTGTGTGTGATGGTGGTGGTGTATGGTAGTGTGGGGGGAGCGGTAGTGTAGCGGTTAGCACGCTGCGCTATGAACCTGGCGACTCGGGTTCGATTCCCGCTCACGGCCAACACCAGTGACGATTATCTGAACCGGTCCCGGGCCTCCCCTAGGTCGACTCAGCCTCAAATGAGTACCTGGTGCGGTGTGTCAACATCGCCACTTGGGGAGACAAAGGCGGTCGGGCGTGGTGTTGGCCACCCCACCCTCCTCGCGTGCCGTGCCGGCCTTCATAGGTGCTGCTCGCTAACAGCAGCACTTGCCCCGACAGTCTTGTTAAGGGTTCTTTGTCTTTTGTGTGGTAGTGACGTGGTGCGTGTTGAGGAAGGCGTCAGCAGCACCGGAGTGCACCTTAGGCGGGTGCCGCACAGGGAGATCGAATCGAACTGGCGACTCCTGGCAGTCGATGCGAGAATCGGTTTCAGTCGGCCGGTTCCACCCGGCGGGTGCGGAGGTCGCGATTGGTTGGGGGGGTGCGGGCGGGGGGGGGGTGGGAACTCAACCCCACTCAACTCAGCCCATCATCCCCGCCGGGGATGGCGGGGTCGATAAAATGAGCGCCGCTTTGACAATAACCACGACACCGCCGCGCAGCAGCATGGGGATATCCGAGCGGAACGAGCTCAGTGGCTCCGTGTGGATGCGCCCCTAATTAGATGGCGGCGTCGCTAATTTGCCGACGCTAATGTTGGGTGCCCGAAGCAGCCCCCACTGGGCAGCAATTAGCGGGCTCCGAGTTAATTGAAGTGGGGGGGGGGGATGGTGGTGGTGGTTCGCGGCACCAGCCTCAGGCAGCGAACGGAACCATCGCTGTTCAGTGCCAAGCGCGGTGGCCGACTGGTGGCTCAGTGGAGCTGAGATGATGCCGCTGATCGAGCCGTGCCGCCAGGAGAATCCTGGGTTCGAATCCCGGTTTAGGCTGCCGCTACCGCAGGCATTGAGCCAAGCGGAGTGAGCCCGCTCACCACAGACTCGCACAGAGACCCAGAGACTGGCGTAGAGACCCATAGATGCACCACCACTGAGACCCATAGATGCACCACCACTGAGACCCATAGATGCACCACCACAGAGACCCATAGATGCACCACCACAGAGACCCATAGATGCACCACCACTGAGACCCATAGATGCACCACCACAGAGACCCATAGATGCACCACCACAGAGACCCATAGATGCACCACCACAGAGACCCATAGATGCACCACCACAGAGACCCATAGATGCACCACCACAGAGACCCATAGATGCACCACCACAGAGACCCATAGATGCACCACCACAGAGACCCATAGATGCACCACCACTGAGACCCATAGATGCACCACCACAGAGACCCATAGATGCACCACCACAGAGACCCATAGATGCACCACCACTGAGACCCATAGATGCACCACCACAGAGACCCATAGATGCACCACCACAGAGACCCATAGATGCACCACCACAGAGACCCATAGATGCACCACCACAGAGACCCATAGATGCACCACCACAGAGACCCATAGATGCACCACCACTGAGACCCATAGATGCACCACCACTGAGACCCATAGATGCACCACCACAGAGACCCATAGATGCACCACCACTGTGCCACATTGCTGCGTTTCAGCCGCTCGTTGTTGTGAGCGTCGCTCCTCCGCCCTCCGTTGTTGTTGTTGTTGTTGGAGGGCGACTGCCTCCAACTGTGTCCACTAACAGCGTCCTTCACGAGGCCGACCTTGACACGGCTGGTGCCGGTCATCGGCAAGTCCACTCAGCTCCACGTCCCTCCTCCGTACGACATCCGCTGAATCTCGTCAGCAGCCCGTGCCGCGCCTGTTTAGCCCCCCCCCCCCCCAGCCAGCTCAGCCTCGCCTGCCAGAGGAGCTTACAAACACGTACAACAGAAAGACGTACACAAACATGTACACAAACACGTACACAACCATGTGCACAAACACGTACAACAGAAAGACGTACACAAACATGTACACAAACACGTACACACCCATGCGCACAAACACGTACAACAGAAAGACGTACACAAACACGTACACAACTATGTGCACAAACACGTACACAACCACACGATATTAATTTGTGTGAGTGGAGTCGTGCCTCCGACAACCTCTGATTGGAAACCCAGACACACAGACGGAGACACAAACGCAGACCCGCAAACCCATCGGCCGTATGAATCACGGGGGACATAAATCATCGGTAACAGGGGGGGAGCGGCCCGGGCTGGAGAGAGAGAGAGGAGGAGGGGGGGTGGACAGGGAGAGAGTGACAGAGACAGAGGGGGGACAGAGACGGAGGCGACACAGGGACCGATAGAGAGAGGGACACGGGACAGAGTGGGACGAGGAGAGACAGGGGGACACGCAGGGAGAGAGAGAGAGAGGGGCGCGAACCACCGCTACCACTACTCCAGCCGCACGGTCTCCGTGGGGGGGGGGTGGTGGTCGGGTGGGTGGGGGCGTGCGGGGTTAGGGATTGGTGGGGGGCACAACCGCAAGAGTAAACCGTTTAACTCTGGGGGGCTGTTGGGGTTAAGGTGGGGGGCACGATTGATGCCCCCCCGACCACCAACCTTACCCGGTGCTCCACCGCGACCGTGACCTATCGCCCTCCGCACGCTCCTTCCGCGTCGTCCGTCCGCTCCACCGCTTCACCTGTCGGCTCGCCTTTGTGTCTCTGCCGTCAAGGAGGAGGAGGGCGGGGGGGGTGCGGTGGGTGGGAGGGAGGGAGGGAGGGGTGAGCACAGCGCCCCTCCCCTCCCTCCCTCCCCCTCCACATTCCCCCCAACCCCTCCCCTCTCCACGACTCGTGGCGCTGTCCCGCCGCGTTAGGCGGCTTGAACCGCAGTGCTGAGCGAACCGTCGTACGTAAGGGGGGGAGGGGGGTTGGGGGAGGGGGGAGGGGGGTTGGGGGAGGGGGGTGAGGGGAGGGGGGGGTGAGGGGTGAGGGGAGGGGGGTTGGGGGAGGGGGGCTGTAACCTTCAGAGAGCTTCAAGTCCGCGTGTCCCCCCCTCTCCCCCCTCCCCCCCCCTCCCCCCCCCCCCCCGTCTCAGCGATAACGGCGACCTGCGGACGTCGAGTTCGGGCCGAGTCCGTGGATTCCCCCTCCCCCTCCCTCTCGCTCGCTGGCTCGCTCAACATGCCCCGTGTCCTCCTTTCTCGCATGTGCGTTGGACTTCTATCGCACCGCGCACGTAGCCCACCGCGCTAAATCGCGCCTCGAACGATCCCAGCCACCCCCCCCCCCCAAAAACACACAACCTATTTGGATTCGCTTTGCCGCTCGCATCAAACAATGCCGACTCGCTCGGGGCACAACGTGAGCTGAGCGGTGTGATCACCTGTGATGGTGAGCCGCCGCCCGGTGAGGTCGAGTTGTGTGGGCGAGTCTGGTGGTTGTTGTTGTTGTTGTTGAAACGTGCGAAGTGATCTTGGACGCACGAACTAACGCACTTGGACACACGCGGAAAAAAGACAAAGCTTCCCTCGTACAGCCTTGACAGACTGTAGGGGCAAGTGCTGTTAGCGAGCACCTATGAAGGCCGGAACGGTACAGGAGGGGATGGGTGGCCAGCACCACGCCCGACCGCCTTTGTCTCCCAAGTGGCAATGTTTACACACCTCACCAGGTACTCATTTGAGGCTGAGTCGACCTAGGGGAGGCCCGGGACCAGTTCAAATAATCGTCACTGGTGTTGGCCGTGAGCGGGAATCGAACCCGGGTCGCCCGGTTCATAGTGCAGCGCGCTAACCGCTACACTATCGCCCCTCACAACACACGCGGACACACACACACAACCACACACACAGAGCCACACACACACAACCACACACACAGAGCCACACACACACAGCCACACACGGAAACACGGACAGCCGAGTGCACTTGCCGGGCACAGCGATAAATAAAGAGTCGATCAGCTCCATTAAAGACGTGTTCCCTGTGTCGCGTGTTCAGAACAAGGGTGGAGATTTCTCTCCATCTCCCTCCCTCGCGTTGCGTCGCTGGCAGAGTGGTCGCGGGGCTTTGCCGGCTCTCTAACCCCCCCCCCCCAGTAAAAAAAACACCCAGCAATCAGAGAAGCTGTGGACCGGGAGGTTTCACGAGTAGATCATTAGCGATCATCACGATCAACAACAACAACATCAACAACAGCAAAACATCTTTAACAAACATTCTCCCAGCCACCCGCCCCCAATTTGCCAATTGGGTATCTCCCTGGTCTCCTTGTAAAAGAACATCGTTGTCATGGCCACCGTACACATTTTCGTGAGCCAGTCAAGGTCATGAGAATGTATGAGATGTGATGTACCCAGCAAGGTGGAATTTCCACCACTGGCTTTCGAACCCGTCGGTGGAGATCAGAGCCAAGACAAAGGGCGTTCGAGCGGACAACCGTTGCAACTAAATCACAAAGCGCAGCGCGTGGGAAATTCATCTGAACGAAATCATCCAGACGGAGAGCGGAGGCGCAGTGATTAGCGCACTGCGCTGTGATTCTGGGCCACGGCGGACATCAGTGGGGCGTGATGGGATATCCGCACCGCTTACCAGAAAACCCTCCAGCGGGTCGCGGCGGTCAATTGGCCATACTTCACAATGCCGGTCAATGCGGGTTGTTGAAGACAGGGAGCATGAGTCTCTGGGGCTCTACGTGAGTCTGTGGGATTTAATGTTACTGGGTCTCTATGCGAGCCTGTGAGTCTCCGTGCAAGCCTATGAGTTTCTATGTGAGTCGGTGGGTCTCTATGTGGGTCTGTGGGTCTCTGTGTGAGTCTGTGGGTCTCTATGTGAGCCTGTGAATCTCTTTGTTAGTGTGTGGGTCTCTATGGGAATCTGCGGGTCTGTATGTGAGCCTGTGGGTTTCAGTGCAAGCCTAAGAGTTTCTATATGAGACGGTGGGTCTCTGTGGGAGTCTGTGGGTCTCGTTTCTCGTTTGTTTTCCTTCTCCCCCCCCACGCCTCCCATTAGGACGGTTGTCTACGAACGGTGCGAAATAACTTCAACATACGCGCATAGTCTGTATATTCCCACTGCTGGGCAAAAGCCTCCCCCAGCCTGCCGTGTTCCCTTCCCTCCCCCGGCTGCTTCCGTGCGGCCGGCTGTTTGCTGCCGCTCTCCTCTCCCCTTCCCTCGCTCGCTCTCCAGTGACCCGCGAGGTCCCTCGCCTCGCTATTGTGCTACCGTAATCAGTCCCCGTGGTGGTCTGCCCAAGCCGATTTTGCGCTGCCCAGAATGTAATATTCAGCATTGATTGAGCATCTGATTTACGGGTGTGTCATGTTTTACCTTCGTCGTGTGGTCCTGCGCCTTTCTTATTCCTTTGGTTTTTGTGCCGATTGCCGTTTGCTTCATTGCTGTGCTTTGGTTTGTTTGGTTTAGTTTTTGCTTTTGTCATTTTTGTTGACCCCAGGTCACTCACCCACTCACTCACCCACCTACCCACTCACCCACCTACCCACTCACCCACCCACTCATTCACCCACCCACTCATTCACCCACCCACCCACTTACTCGTTCACTAACCCACCACAATAATTTACTCAACCGGTTATTCAAAAAATAAACTTGAACCTTGAATTCACTCAATCACCCACCCACTCATTCACTCACCCACCCACTCATTAACTTACCCACCCGCTCACTCATTCACTCACCCACTCATTAACTCACCCACTCACCCGTTCACTCACTAACTCACCTGCCCCCTCACTAACTCAATCACTAACCCACCTCCCGAACCACCCGCTTCTTGCACGTGACACTCCACCCTCTCGCCCGTGGTTCACCCAAACCAAGTGTGGGATCCTTGAGCTCCCCGCTCGCTGTGCGCGTTTCCTCCGGCAGAGTCGGCGGCGTCGGGCGGGGACCCAGTCGCAGAGGGCCCCGGCTTGGGGGCTCGACCCCTGACCCCCGTGCACCTGAGGGCCCGCGTGACCCTGCCGGAAGGTCACCTGGCTTTCCTACTGCACACGGCCAACCCTCACGCGGACCTCTTCCGCAACGCCAGCGCGCGACTGCTGCAGGTGCCGGCGTGTGTGTGTGGCGTGTGCTTGTAGTGTTTGTGCGTGTGTGCGTGTGTGCGTGTGTGCGTGTGTGCGTGTGTGCCGCGGATGGTGCGTTAGGAACGGATCAAAAACGAGGTCCACGGTGGGACGTGCCAACCGTGGATCACAGCCAGGGTCATCGAGGTCGGCACCACGTGGTGCAGGAGGATTTGGGACGCGGCTGAAAGCAGAAGGGGGGAGAGAGGCCACGTGGCCGAGGGACTGCATAAACCGACGATGGCGATGATGATGATGATAATAATACAAATAATAATTTGATCAAATAATTTCAGCCCTACCTAGAAAAAATGTTCAGCCTGCCCAATGAGAATATCACCCGAGCGTGGTCTCCTACGCACGGCCACACGTTCAACATTTCCTCTCGCAAGTTTTCACCACGCACTACTACGGGCATCGTCTGTGTTTGAATGCTCAAGGTGCATACCTGTCAGCCCCTTATCAGTGCCTACCTTACTACAGACCAATTCAGACATTATTGGTCACCCCGTGCCCCTTATACCAACGTTCATCCTCCGACGTCCCATCACAAGGGAGAAACACAAACAAATAGCCAACAAAAAAACATTGGTTTTGCCCGTATTGAAACGGCTGTGAGCCGTATGGGCCTGAAAACTCAATTTCCCTGTACAAGAATATGGGTAAACCGTGTGGCTTGGCACTCAAAAAACTGCACATGGGTGAGAGTGTTCTTTTGGGCAGGCACAGCTTTGGCGGGGCTGAAATAATTTTGTTAACATTTATTTGTATTACAGTATATATTACTGATCGTATACTATATTAGAAAAAAAGGGTTTTGCTGCCTGCATGGATTCCTACCTGCCTGGCTGGCTGGCAAATGGGTGGGCAAGTGCACGATTTACATTACCACCCTTGCAAATACGCGGGCAATACGAGTACATATATATTTTTAATTCACGACCAGAAACTAGAGAGTGCAAGGAAAATTCACAGAAGAACGATCACAAGCGAGTGTGAAATATTCTCGCGCCACCTGCTCGTCACCCTCTTTCTCCGTAGGGAACCGTGACGACCTCGAGTTCTGTGGTCGCCGCCCACCGGCCCTTCACCCACACCCCACCCACCTTTCTGCACGCACGCGTGTGCTCCCACGTACGCAGGCCCCCTTCGTGATGCTCGGCGCGCGTGGGGTGCGTCCCCTGTCAGAGCCGCGCGTCAACGCCACGTTTGGCCCCTTCCGGGTGTCTCGCCCCATCCCTCCGGAGCTGCTGGGGCCGTCGCTGGGTGGCTGGTCGGATGGACCTCGCGGCGGCCCAGACGCCGCCTCCTCCTCCTCCTCCGGAGGAGGGCCCGCCGGCAGTGGCCAGGCGGCAAGGCTGCGGGCCGTGCTGGTGCAGGAGAAGGTGTACTCCAGCTCGCCCAAAGTGCAGGTGAGGAGGGCGGAAAACTGTGGCAGCGATGGGCAATCAATTAATAAATAAATGCCCGCGATGGAGGTGGCCCTGAGACTCAGAGGTCCGGGACGCTGAGCCGAAACAGAAAGAGGCAAGGCCAATCGGGAAAGGGTGGGGCCTAAGGAGAAAGGGGGTAGGGCACAGAGACAGAAAAGGCGGAGCTTAAAGAGGAAGCGGTGGGGGCTAAAGCGGAAGGAGTGGGGCCGACAGAAGTTGAACTTCCCTGTTGAGTTAATGCGATGGATCGTAGAATCAAATACTTGCACCAAGCCGCTGCTGCGTAATTTTTTAGTACCGCCAACGCGGCCACAAGGCCGGCTTGCGGCAACGTTATACGTCGTCGGATCGGTGAGTATCCTCTCCTGTGCACCAAGGTCCTATTCCACGCGACGGGCCGCGACTGGGACGACCACAGCGACATCGCGAGCCTGCCGTGCGTCCACCTCCACGCGTTCCGCGAGACGCGCGAGGCGCGCGGCTCCTGCCGCCTCGACACCAACCTGGGCCTGTGCCTCGCCGAGCTCGCCCTACCCCTCGCCTGGTTCGCGCCCCCCACCGTGGTGCCGGGCCGCAGGCAGAGGCCCTTGGGCGAGTCGCAGGCTGCGGCCCGCGTAGAGCTCTACTTCTCGGTCCGCCCGGCCGAGGCTGATGGGAGTTGCCGTGGTGATGAAGCCAGGCAGCAGCAACAGCGGGCAGGCGGCGGTGTCAGGTAGCATGAACTACACACCTGCACCAGTTAGGGTTGCTGTCTGTTCTGGGTGGTCCCTAGGATCAATCTCTCGTTGAGGTGGCTGTCCTGAGAGATCTCCGAGACCTTCCAGGAAACCAACGGCAAGAAACACTTCTTTCAAATGTTTCCTGCCGTTGGTTTTCACACCTGATGATGACTGTTTGTGTTACAGTCGAAACGTCGTGAGAATTTTATTGTTTTATATATATTTTATTATTTTATTGTTTCCCTTCAACGTGACTTTACCGAAAGAACCAAGAATATAAGCAGACCTTTTGTTCTCATCCGATATTTCCGGGTCCACATTTCTGATTTTATTTTTTGTTGCATCGCGGACATCTCGTCCCCGTATTTACCAATTGCATAAAATAAATACTCACGATAATCGGCATCGTAAGATATTCTACTGCCCATGCTTTGACCCAGTTTAGTTTTATTCACGCCACGGAGGTGACAACCCTAGCACCGCCACCATTGCCGCCACCATCACCAGGGCGGTTGCCACCTCTCCAGCCGTATCCATGATACGTCCCGTTTTTTTTTTGTTTTTTTTTTCTCTCTTTAAATGCCTCCAGAGGCGTCAACTCCAGCTCCCGGCGCGGCCGCGACGCCCCCGGCACGCGGCACCACAGGCCGCTGCTGCGCATCGGCAGCGTGGGCCTCCTGCTGTCGCCGCCGTCGCCCCCGGTGACCGAGTCGCGGCTGGAGGGCGGCGTCACGCTGCTCGTTCCGGAAAAGTCCTTCCGGCCCGGCGAGGTCATCAGCATCACCGTGACCCTGCCGCGCAACTCCACGCTGGAGCGATTCACCGTGCGGTGAGATGCGCGCGACATCGCCCACCCCACCCCCGTCGCCGCTCATCTCGCCGCGTTTCGCCAATGAGCGGAACGACTCGGGCGGGGGGTGGGGGGGAGGGGGGGGGGGCGGGGGGGTGGGGGGGAGGGTATTCTATGAGTGCTTTACGAGTGTTCCGTGTGTTTCGCGTCACCAAGCAGAACTTCTTTAATTCGTTTCTGAGAATGCGTTAAAATTGATCCCGATGATGATGGGCGGTTTTTTTGTATCCGGTTTGCTGCCATTTTGTTTGGAAGTTTAATTTCGGAGCTGCGTCTGGCGATCACATCGCGCTGTTGATCGTCGCCCAGCCGCGCCGTCACGGACTTGCGGTGGAGCGGTGGTGCAGCTACGCAGTCGCCGACCAGAGGTTTAGTTCCCGGCCACAGCCAAGAAGGGTTGAAGGAGAATCCCATAGACATCATTGTGATGTCAACTCCCATGGGCTGTTATATACAAAAGTAAAACTATAAACTAAACTTATTCTTAGTTTTTTCGGTAAAGTCACGTTGAAGAGAAACAACAACGTGACTTTACCGAAAAAACTAAGAATATGAATTACTGCAGTCACGAAAGCTTTAAATCAAAATATAAACTAAACTATTTCTATTTTACCAGGTGAGGCCCACTGACCTATACAGCTCTTTTTCAGAAGCGACCTGGCCACAAATGGTAGCTCAACGAAGTGGCTTATCACGTGGGAATTTATAGCAGCTAAATACTCTAAACACATGGTTCCAAATGTGGAGGGAAAGACCGGAGGACACGGAGGAAAATGCACGCGACCATCGGGGCAACATGCAAACTCCATATATACAGGCGTCCAAATCTACAGGGGGATACCACAGAGCCAGTTAGCTCTGTGGTATCCACTTCCACGGGCCGCTCTCTACTACTAAGGACTGCATCGGATTATTTTTCTCGTAACGACACGACGATGACGAGGATGGCGCAATCTGGATAACGTTGGACGGGGGGGAATCGCGTTAACAGAATTATAACGATAGATAAATAAACCGCGACGGAGAGATCGAACTGCAGAAGCCACAAAGGTCCGGCTCGTCTCGGAATCGCGACCCTGTTGCTGTGCTCCGAATGTGGAGAGACAGATTGATGAGGCGATCTACAGGCGCACGACGGGACTGACATATTAGTACGCAGACTGAGACTGACACCTCGGTGATCGTGACCTCCCCCTGAGATGCCCTTGATCCCCAAACGAGGATTCCCCCCTCGAGCAGCAGGGGAGAGGGGTAGGGGGACCCCAGTGAGGGGACGCGACCCTGCAATGAGAAGATTCACCTGGAATATATTGCTCATTAAATATTCACGACATCGCGACGATCATTCGACCACCCACCCCACGGCACCCACCCCCACCACCTCCACTCCTCGAGCCATCAGATGAATTGGCTGCCTGTGTGCGTGTCCGATAATTATCTGTGTGTGTGTCCCTTTGCTTATCTTCATGTCTGTCTGTTTATCTATTTTGCTATTCCTCTTTATCCATATGTCCATTTGATTATTTACGTCTGTCTGTTTATCTGTTTGTCTGTCTGTGTGCGTCTGTCTACACGTGTGTCTCAATTGTGTATGGCACGTGAATGTTCATCCAAATGTGTGTGTGAATGTTCATGTAAATGTTCATGCGGATATATGGCTTCGCCAATTGTCACGAGAGACGGGGACGGTTTTGGGGGGGTGGGGGGATGAATTCGTCCAGCGGCAGAGAGACCATGGATGCCGATGTCACTGCTGCTGAAACTGGTGATGACGATGAGCGGTGGCGTTTGAGTACCTCGTCCGGGCACCTATTCATTTATTTGTTTATTTACTTTGTTGCTCCCCGCACCCCCTCGCTCACCTCCCCTCCCCGCTCCCCCCACCCTGGAAGGCCGGGAGGGACAGCCGCAGGAGGGAGGAAGTAGGTGGAAGCCCATTAATCGGCGGTTAATGAGGCGTAGTTATTGATGGGCGAGGGTGGATGTGGGAGCGTCTGGGGGAGGTTGCGGATCGCCGGGGACCGTTGTTTGGGGGTGGGGTTCCCCCTCTCTATTTGACAATCGACCTCCAATTCCGCTCTCATTATTTATTTACTCGCTTGCTTCGCTTGAACGTTGGGAATGTGCACCTTGCGAACGTCCGGGGCGGAGCGACCCAGCGGCTACCGCCCTGCGCTCGCTTGGTGGAATCTGACGCGCTCGAAGGGGCGGCTGACGGATCAACGATCGAGTCACTCTCCATGTCACTCCGGTGGCTCGCCGGTCGGTCAGTCGCCTCCGAATCGCTCTCCTGCCGCTGCGACTGCGACGGTCATCGGCCTCCCCTTTCCACGCCGGTCAGACGACTTGCTCCGAAGGTGGCGGTACCCACGATTTACCCCACCGCACGTGACCTGCTGGGTGGACAGAGGCGTGTGGGAGGGAGGGAATTTACGAAACTTCTCCCCCCCCATTGTTTCAACTGCCGCGCCGGGTGATTGAACCGGTGACCTCTGGACGCTGGCGCCAGTGACGTCATCGTCCGGCCATGTGACTGCTCCACCAACGGCGGTTGGCATCAATCGGAAGGTTTCGAGTTCAAATCCTGGTTGTGGTGTTTGGTGGGGGGAGTGATTTCAGCCCATGATCCCTCCCTTCGGGGATCGATAAAACGAGTACCACATTGCGTGTTAGTCAACATACAGTGGGCGTCTCATGGATGTCCTCGTCCTCCTCCCCCCAACCGCTATAGCAACGTGGAATGCCCGCCACTGTGAACAGGAAGATGAGTGCCGCCCCGATGCCCATTAGAAATCATTGTGACTCTAGAAAAAACATTTCCATCGTAATGCGGAAAATTATTTCTGGGCTCCGAGCGTTAATGCGGCCCGAAAGCACGAGAGGTCAACGGTGCATCGGGGCCCTCCCCTCCACTGCACGTAGAAGCTTTATCTGCGCGTCCTCATCCAAGGCAAATGCCACTGCTGCTTCTGCGGCCGCTGCCACCGCCACCCCCATCACTACCGCTGCTGCTACCGCTACCGCTGCTGCCACTACTGCTGCTGCTACAACTGCTGCCACTGCTGCTGTTGCTGGCACTACTGCTGCTGCCACTGCTGCTGCCACTGCTGCTGCCATTACTACTGCTGCCGCCGGTGCTGCTGCTACCACTGCTGCTACCACTGCTGCTGCTGCCACTATTGTTACCACTGCTGCGACCACTGCTGCTACCACTACTGCTGCCACTGCTGTTACCACTACTGCTGCTGCCACTGCTGCTGCCATTACTACTGCTGCTACCACTGCTGCTGCCACTACTGCTACCACTACTGCTGCTGCTGCCACTGCTGCTGCCACTACTGCTGCCATTACTACTGCTGCTGCCACTACTGCTGCCATTACTGCCGCCGCCGCCGCCGCCGCCGCTGCTGCTGCTGCTGCCCTAATCGCGCCGGCCCTGCGAACATTCCCCCACTGCCACGGCGCCTCGCCTCCACCGGGGAGCAAAGCTCGAGAAAGAGAGTACAGGCGGTGCAACTGCGCCTACTGGAGAGAGGAATTGACCAGGGGGGGAGTGGATTCCTTGCACCAAGACCCGTGCCGACTGCACCACTACGATACCACTATAACAGCGCCTGTGTGTGGGGGCGGTGCATGTAGGTGGTAGTGTAGCGCTCAGCGCGCTGCACCCCAAGTTCAATTCCCGCTCACGATTATTTGAACCGGTCCTGGGCCTCCCCTAGGTCGAGTCGGCCTCAAATGAGTACCCGGTGCGGTGTGTAAACATCGCCGCGATGGAGACAAAGGCGGCCGGACGTGATGCTGGCCACCCACCCCCTTCGTGTGCCGTGTCGGCCTTCATAGGTGTTCGCTAACAGCACTTGTCCCTGCAGTCGGTTGAGGCTATACGGGGGATCTTTGTCTTTGTTGTGATAAGTGGCATGCTCGAGGCTCAGCAGCAGAGTCTCCTTTTTGGAGTGAGCGGCAATCACCAGGTCATCGGCATATATAACGTGGTTGACCAGAACGGGATACTTCCTTTGACCGCACCCGGGCATCGATCGGCCTCCCGTTGTACCTCCGTACCAGATGTAAATTCCTCCGGTACAGCCATGAAGGGCTCATTGAACTCCGTTGTTACAAAAAAAATATGTTAAATAATGTGGGGGCCAGAGGGACATCCCTGTCGTACGCCAAGGTGAACAGGAAATGACTCAGACTCCCAGCCAAGCAGCATTACCCGGCACCGTGAAGGTCCTTAAAGGTTTGTGCGCAGAGAGTCCGGTACCCTGAAATCACCAAGAATAACCCAAATCCCCGGTCTCTTCACGGTATCATAGACCTTGAACCAGGTCAACAAAGCAGATATGTAGGCTCTGCCGAAATTCCCTACACCTCCGCTGTAGCAGACGGCACGGAGCGTATGGCGTCTGTGCACGAGCTCCCAGTTCTGAAACCGCACTGGCGCACTGCTGCCTGGCACGGTGGCGATGATGAATGACCCTTGCGAAGATTGTCGGTCCCGGCCTCACACCGAGGAGAGAGATGCGCCGGTAATTATCACAGTTGGTGCGCGGTGACGCGTGGCGACGCGTGGCGGTGCTGGCCGTGCCGGCTGTCGGTTGTGCTCGTGAGAGTGTTGGCTGGGCCGTGGTGGTGGTGGTTGTGGTGGTGCTGGTGGTGGTGGTTGTGGTTGTGGTGGCAGCTGCTGCTGCTGCAGTGCCAGTGGAGGCAGCAGGAGCAGCAGCATCGAGGGTTGGTGGATCACGCATGGATGTTGTTGTGAAACTCCCTTCCCACCCGTGGGCGCGCTGCGTCGTCATGGTGTCAGATGTAACACTTCCCCTTTGGTTTGAAGGCATCGGGATGGGGAAGGGGTGGAGGTGGGGGAGGTGGGAGCACGACCCCGCGTGTCGATGCGTTCCGTCGCGGGTCGTTAACTCGTCGTGTTCGGCGCGGGCTTGTGGGGGGTCGTTTCTGCCGCAGGGCCAAGGCGAAGAAGGGCATCGAGGTGCTGGGGGCCCAGCCCGTCGACCCATCCGCCTGGGAGCTCAGCAGCGACATCATCAACTCGGGCAAGCACCACGTGGTGGCGGTGGCGGCCACGCGGCGCCAACCCGGGCGCAGCCTCGCCGCCGGGTGAGGAGTCCAATCAACCGCAGGGCCACGGGGGGGGCCCACCGAGCCAATCGCAGGGCACACCACATCCAGTATACCTCGCGTCTATGGATGGGGCTAACTATTCACAGCCCAACTCTGATGTCTCCCGGCGAATACATTGAGTGAGATTATAAATGTACCCCCCGATGATGACGATGATGACGACGACGATGACGATGATGGTGATGATAATGATCCCGTAATCTCACCAGGGCCGCCACGTTTGCGCTTATCTAGCAAATGGCGAGTTGGCCATTGCGTGCCAGATGGCCGTGCTAACACCACCACCACCCCCACACCCCCCCGATGATGATGATGCCGCGGCAGATGGCGAGTCTCCTCTGCCAAGCCATTCACCTGGAATCGCAACTCGGCGTTACCGATCGCGGGGCGGAATGGGGTGGGGCGGGGGAGGGGTGGGGGCGGGCTGGGGTGGGGGGGGAATGATCGTGGGCGACTCGAGATGCAACGCAGAATCGTTCACGTGACGTGTGTTCACGAGACGTGTGTTCACGAGATGTGTGTTCACGAGACGGGAGTTCACGAGACGTGTTCACGTGACGCGTGTTCACGAGACGGGAGTTCACGAGACGTGTTCACGTGACGAGAGTTCACGAGACGTGTGTTCACGTGACGTGTGTTCACGAGACGTGTGTTCACGTGACGCGTGTTCACGTGACGGGAGTTCACGTGACGTGTGTTCACGTGACGTGTGTTCACGTGACGTGTGTTCACGAGACGTGTGTTCACGTGACGGGAGTTCACGTGACGTGTGTTCACGTGACGTGTGTTCATGAGACGTGTGTTCACGAGACGTGTGTTCACGAGACGAGAGTTCACGAGACGTGTGTTCACAAGACGTGTGTTCACGAGACGTGTTCACGTGACGTGTGTTCACGAGACGTGTTCACGTGACGTGTTCACGTGACGTGTGTTCACGAGACGAGTGTTCACGTGACGTGTGTTCACGTGACGTGTGTTCACGTGACGGGAGTTCACGTGATGTGTGTTCACGTGACGTGTGTTCACGTGACGTGTGTTCACGTGACGTGTGTTCACGAGACGTGTGTTCACGAGACGTGTGTTCACGAGACGAGAGTTCACGAGACGTGTGTTCACGTGACGTGTGTTCACGTGACGTGTGTTCACGTGACGAGAGTTCACGTGACGTGTGTTCACGAGACGTGTGTTCACGAGACGTGTGTTCACGTGACGTGTGTTCACGAGACGTGTGTTCACGTGACGAGAGTTCACGTGACGTGTGTTCACGAGACGTGTGTTCACTTGACGTGTGTTCACGTGACGAGAGTTCACGTGACGTGTGTTCACGAGACGTGTGTTCACTTGACGTGTGTTCACGAGACGTGTGTTCACGAGACGTGTGTTCACGTGATGTGTGTTCACGTGACGCGTGTTCACGAGACATGTGTTCACGAGACGTGTGTTCACGTGACGAGAGTTCACGAGACGTGTGTTCACGTGACGTGTGTTCACGAAGTGCACGGATTCGCTCGGGGGCAGAGACTCTGGTGGACGCTCGTCTCTAGTGGGCAGAGACTCGGGGGGCCAGGCTCCTGGGTCTCTGTTGTTCTAGGGTCGCGTGGTTCTGCTCCAGAGTGGTTCCATGGGGGGGGGGGGGGGGGTGGAAGTGGAGAGGGTGGAAGTGGGGGGGGGGTAGGGGGAGCTCGCCCTCTCGTCAGCTGTAGCCACGCAAAGGTCACTTTGAGATGCGAGCTGTGTGCTGGGTTAGTGCCGCTCGCCCCGGACCGCCCTCGTCGAGGAGGAAGAGGTGGGAGAGGAGGAGCGCAAGGGGAGGGTTACGGGGGCGGGCACCGAGCCGTCATCAGCATCATCGCAGTCATCACGGGACCAGCTCTGTCGTCACCGCCATCATCATCCTCGTCATCATCGTCGTCATCATTGTGGCCTCGATCGACAACGCCATCGTTATCGCCGCACGGCGTCAACGTCAACTTTTTGCGTCATCTTTGTCATCGCTGTTATCGTCACTGTCGTCATGTCACTGTCGTCATCGTCACTGTCGTCATCGTCACTGTCATCATCGTCACTGTCGTCATCGTCACTGTTGTCATCGTCACTGTCTTCATCGTGGTCGTCGTCATCGTCACTGTCGTCATCGTCACTGTCGTCATCATCATCGTCATCGTCACTGTTGTCGTCGTCATCCTCATTGTCGTCACTGTCGTCGTCGTCACTGTCGTCATCGTCATCGTCACTGTCGTCATCGTTACTGTCGTCATCGTCACTGTCGTCGTCATCATCGTCATCGTCACTGTCGTCATCATCACCGTCATCGTCACTGTTGTCATCGTCATCCTCATTGTCGCCACTGTCGTCATCGTCACTGTCGTCATCGTCACTGTCGTCATCGTCACTGTCGTCATCATCATCGTCATCGTCACTGTTGTCGTCGTCATCCTCATTGTCGCCACTGTCGTCATCGTCACTGTCGTCATCGTTACTGTCGTCATCGTCACTGTCGTCATCATCATCGCCATCGTCACTGTTGTCGTCGTCATCCTCATTGTCGTCACTGTCGTCGTCGTCACTGTCGTCATCGTCATCGTCACTGTCGTCATCGTTACTGTCGTCATCATCACTGTCGTCATCATCATCGTCACTGTTGTCGTCGTCATCCTCATTGTCGCCACTGTCGTCATCGTCACTGTCGTCATCGTCACTGTCGTCATCGTCACTGTCGTCATCATCATCGTCGTCGTCATCATCCTCATTGTCGTCACTGTCGTCATCGTCACTGTCGTCATCGTCATCGTCACTGTCGTCACTGTCGTCAGCGTCACTGTCGTCATCGTCATCGTCGTCGTCGTCATCCTCATTGTCGTCACTGTCGTCATCGTCACTGTCGTCATCGTCACTGTCATCATCGTCATCGTCACTGTCGTCACTGTCGTCATCGTCACTGTCGTCATCGTCATCGTCATCGTCGTCGTCGTCATTCTCATTGTCGTCACTGTCGTCATCATCACTGTCGTCATCGTCACTGTCGTCATCGTCACTGTCGTCATCATCACTGTCGTCATCGTCACTGTCGTCATCGTCACTGTCGTCATCGTGGTCGTCGTCATCGGCGTGGGTAAATGTGCGAGTCCGCGACTGTCACTTGACAGAAAACCACGCGTAACCGTGCGGCACCCGTGCTGGCTCCCATGCTGGCTCGGCTCGGCTCGGATGTGTGGCAGTGAAAAAAGCGGAGGGGGTGGGGGGGGTGTGGTGGGGGGGGGGGCCTGTCGCAAGTTTTGTATCGCGCGTAGCTGAGACGAGGCGGCCGCGTGGAACTGTGGCACGCGGTGAGGTAGGAGGGGGAGCGTGGGGGGGGGGCACGTGGGTGTGAAGTGACCTCCCTCTGCTGTAATTATCGAGCAGCGGGGCTGACCGGCGAAGGCCATCTGTCTCGTGTCAGTGACAGATGCAAGTCGTTTGGAAATGACCGAGATGGCCGCTGTGCAATGAGAGTCGTCGTCGTCTTAATCATCAACATCCTGATCATTCCGATCAGCTCAAGAAATTCTAAAATCTTCGTCGTGATCATCATCAGCAGCAGCAGTAGCGTCAATAGCAATATCATCATTATCACCATCATCTACAACAGTGGTAGTAGTAGTTTTACCCTTTTAACTGGCACAAAAAAACTGACACCTTTATTCAAGGCATCATGTTTGCAATAACCACAACACAAGCAGTCAAAATGCAAACAAAAAGAGACAACTCTGATAATGATGTTGGCACTATCCTTGAATTTGATTGGTCCACACCCGAGACGGCTTTTCTTAGAGCCTAGTCTCCATTGGTGTTGGACCAGAAGACGCCAAAAGGCGTACAACTCAAAAACAGCGCACTATCAGAGTATTGAGGGCTCGGGGTAGGCATTTACATTACTGGCAAAGGAGGTCTCATAAAAGTAATAGTAGTTATTGTATTATCAGCAATAACAGCAGCGACTTGACCCATCATCCCTCGAGGGTCGATAAAATTACTACCACTTTGTGTGGGGGTGGGCGGGGGGAAGTCAACAACAGTGACTATCCTATGTAGAAAATCGCACCCCGCCATAGGAATGTGGACATTCCATGACGGGCTGTAGAGAGAGACAAGCACCAATGCCTCAAAGCTAATTTGAGCAGGGACGTCACTTCAACAAAAATACATAATGGGCAACGTTCCGGGCAATGGCCCTTCTTAATGGTATCTCGGCTATATTTATACTAGGGCAGGGTTGTTGACGGATGTATTTGTGAAGTTTAAACTCCGTCAACCTGTGGATCTCTATATATGTCTATTGGTCATCGTAAGTCTGTGTATCTCTATGTAATATAAGTCTACGGACACTCTACGCGAGTCTGTGGGTCTTCGTTGAACAGTCGAATCCCTCCACGCAATAGGGGCTTCACTTAATCGACTGGCTTGACCAGCTTGTTTGCAATGTCATATCTCGTTAACTGACCCGTCCCCCCCCCCCCCCCTCTTCCCCGGGACCCCCACACCGTGCCCTGCCGTCTAAGCCCCCCATAACCCCCCCCCCCCCACTGCAGTGCCACCAGCTGATTGATGGTGCTCAATCAACCTCCCACATCCCCCCTCCCCTTCCTACTACTCCACCGTCAGCATGATGGAGCACATGCCCACCGGCACGTGTGTGTGTGTCTGTCTGCGTGCTATGTTGTCGAGTACCTGGTGCAGTGCGTACATTTCGTAAAGAAAGAAAAAAAAGACACGTCAGCATTGGAGAGACAAAGGCGGTGTCGGTTATGGCCACACCTTCCACTCGTGTGCTGTGCCGGTCTTCATAGGTGCTGCTCGCTAACAGCACTTGCCCCAACAGTCTGTTCATGCTATACGGGGCAGGGGAGGGGGAGATATTTGTCTTTGTTGTCGTTGTTGTTGTTGTTGTGGTGTTATTAGCCGAGTTCCTTCTGGACGGATTGCCGCCAGGTCCCTGG